TGTTAAAACATATACAATTTTCCCTTATTAAAATTTAACTACATTTATTTTCACTTGTTTCAATAATAGAGTTCTATTTCTCTTTGCCGTTATTGCGCCATCATTGGGCCGAGATTTGGCTCATAATTGGCAGCCATAAATTGATTTTAAAATATTGGATACTTTGGCCGTTATTGTGTCATTATTGGGCCGAGATACGTCACGTCGTTAGCAGTGATAATTCGCGATTGTTGATTCTTTACTTGGGCCATTAATGCGCCAGTATTGAGCCGAGATTCGATTCAATTTCAGAAATTAGAGAAAAACGAAGAATCGGTGTGAATATTGGTGCATTAATGGGCTGAAAATTGGCCGAGTTTCAAAAAATAGGGAAAAACTGACTATCAGTGCCAATGTTGCGTCATTATTGGGCCGAGATTCGGTCCAATGCTGTCAATTAAAAGAAGGTTACACTTAAAAAGTCACTGGCTTGTTTGACAGATAAAAACAGTGGGCCAAGCACGGTAAAATCCAGTGCAGGCACAGGATTTTCAGGTGTAGGTACGCACCGAAAATTTCGATACATGCATTGTAATTCCGCATGCGTGCACCAACAGAGGGCGTTGAAATGCACGGAAAAAGATGGTGACAACTTTAGCACCTTATTTCTATGTGTCGCAACTTAGAAATAAGGTGCTTACACCGTGTTTTTAAGTGTAACCTTCTTTCCGTGAAGAGTTCCAGCTGACTCTGAGGAAGGTTAGTATATACTTTCTTTTTAGTTGAACTACGTACCACACTGTGTCAGCTTGACGTTCAAATTTTATATTAACGTTTTGTAAAATGGATGTATTTTATTACTTTTTCTCGAATTATATTTCATGGCATGTTATTATAATAAAATTTGTACAAAAATTCATTGCCTGTGGACATGTAAATAAATACAAGAAAAAAATAAATAAATGGAATTTTTTTAATATGTTAGCATACTAAGTCGACAATGAATATATAGACAATTTTTTAAAATTATTTTCTGATAACACAAAACGATGTTCATTTTAAGTAAATATAATCTAGTAAAATGAACATAATTGTAAAATGTTTTACTCTCTTAAAGTTATTGTGTACAGTAGGAAGTAATAATACTTTGTATTAAAATTGTCTTTTAGATGTTCTGGATGTTAATAATGTGGGAAACACATTAAATGACAGTAAATGTTTAAATAAAAATGCAGAAACATCATGTGGTATGTAAAATTAAAAATTAATTTAAAAAATTAATGAATTTTTGTTTGTTTCTCAAAGTAAAAGCAACCCTTACAAAGTGACAAGATATATTTTAAACATGAATACTTCTTTATGAGACAAGATGTCTAGGGGTTTTTGGGGTTGTTTAAGACAAATTTGATGCCAGTTTTTAAAAATTGAATAAATAGAGAAAAATAAAGCAGAGCCGTAGTAGATACTTTTTGAATATTGTAAAACATATCCTATTAGCTTCTAATATCTTATCAGGAAGCTTTCTTTTAACCATACAAAGTTGAAGGGCCTACTGGCAAGACAAACGTTTTTGTTGAGATTATGTTTAATTTTGTCATTGAAAATGACAAATGGAGCACATTACAATTGTATATTAATTTTTGGAAAATTTTATAATTTTAGTGTTAACAAATTTGTTTTTTTAATTTTTAGTTTTTTGAAAATAGCATTTCATCATTAAATATCATAAATAGAGCACAATTTAGCATATAACTTGATTTTTGAACATTTTCATTGTAGAGGCAAAAAAAATTTTTCATTTGTTTTTGTTTGGAATTTTTATTTACTTGAAAATTGACTTTCCTTATTAAACATCATAAATAGAGCCCAATGGAGTACAAAATTTAATATTTAATCATTTTTAATTTTTGACTTAAAGTGTTACATATCCCCTGCTTTTAAACATTTAATTTATTTCATTAAAATCATATCCCTGGTTTTTTAATAAACAATTTGTAAATAATTTGTCTCTCCCCTTCATTTTAAAAACAAAATTTGAGACTAGAAAAATATAAATAAAAATTGTTTTTAAAAACAAAATAATTTTTTTATATAATTACATTAAATATGAACAATTAATCTTTGTACATTAAAAATATTAATATTTGAATAAAAATAATAATCGATTTTCAATGACAAAGGTTGTAAATTATATTTAAAATTTTCATCTTTTACATTTACCCTATTTAAGACCACATCAATTGATTTGTTGATGAATATATTCTTGAAAAATTTAATCGTGTTATTATTATTTCAAAAATAAAAATTTTGAAAGATATGGACAAATCCACGAAACTTTTAATTTTTATGATCCTCGAATTGATCACTTAAAAGTCTATTATTTTAAATTAAAATTCCTTTTATCATTATATTCAACTAAATTATATACAAATTAACATTTATGTACAGTATTAGTACAAAATATTAATTTGCCAATTACTTTTATTAGTGCAAAATTGAAAAAGAAATGAAATTTCATTTGAAACGCTTATAAAAGTTTATATTCTTAATGATTTTATCTTTGAGGCGCGTAAAGTACCTCTACAGCTGCAAGAAAATAGTTAACAATCATATTTTTTTATAATTTTTTCACTATGCCATTATTATTATTATTTATTTTAAAAAAAATATAATTATACGTCTTCTTATGCAAATATCTAGTGCGGCGTAAAATAAAAAGAAAAATTCAATAAATTGGTGAATAGATAATAATAATAATAATAACTAAAAAAATAAAAATTCAAGACCTTTTTCATTCATGTGCCTCTAATTGTACTCCTGTAAGAGCAATTTAAATATGTTAGTAAAAATCGTGATTTCGTTTAAATTTATTCATTTATATGAAAGGCACAACTACAAACATACTCGAAACAGATCAATCTATAATGTGATTGAAGCATTTTCTTACAACTGTTTCAAAAAAAATTGCCGCCCAAGGATTTTGAATATAATCAATGTTATTAAGTTAAGAATGCGCAGTGGGCACAGAGACACAAGTTGTTTTCAGGACGTCTTTAAGACATCCTCACAATTTCTATGTCTGGCCAAAGTACGTCCTAAAAACACCTTGTGTCCCCGTGCCCACTGAGTGTGCTTCAAGTTTCAAAACTTATATTCTTAAGGGCTAAAATGGGCAATTACAAGATCAATCTTCTTACAAATCCGTATAATTGTGTAATTTTTTCTGCTGATTACGAAAATCACATAGAAAATTGTTAAATTATTCATTCACAGAAAACACCTGCTTTCAAATGGAGTATAAATTCCATATTGAATTTGATTCGCAATAAAAATGAAACTGAGATGCGCATCAAATTGAGTATGAAAATTATACTCAATTTGAAACCATGTTTTTTCGGTGTTTGTATGGTAAAAACCATAAAAAACCCATAAAGATCATTTCTTTCTGTTTTTTGCATTTATCTCAGTAAATATAAACAATTTAAAAAAATACTTTACACAAAAGTTATAGTTCTCAATGAAATATGTTTTTTCTGTTCTGTGCTCTTTTTATCAGAATTGTATATTTTTCAAGAAAAATGAAATAAACTGCAAATTGGTTTGAAAAAAAACAATTTTACATTCCTTACTTTTTCCAAATTCTGACGTGCTACGTAATTTCGTGAAATGTGATCGTGTTCAGCAGACAAAATTGCATTGGAAACCACCCCGATATATGAAAAATAATAACAAATGTCAAATTTGGTAGGTCTGTAATTTCTTAACAATAACGAGCTAAACATTGACGGTGTGAGCTAGGAATAAATGGCAGATACAAATTTGTAGTTCTAAAATATACTTGAACACATACATGAATTAAGTTCAATGTGCCTGTAAATTAAAAAACAAAAAATTTTATTGTTGAAAGTTTAAGGTTTCGTGGATTTGCCCATACCCAGCAAACTCATGTAACATGCATGTAACAGTTACATAACAGTTCTATGAAAATGTCAGCTTATTCGTGTAACTTGTTACTGGCATAATTTTTGCAGTGAAATTATTATTATTTTTCAAATATGAGTTGTAATTTGATTAAAAAAATGTTAACGAGGAAGCACGGTGTTCAAGAAATGAACATAGAAACAACTTCCCTTATTAGGAGATAATGTTCTTTTATAAAGAAGGATCCATCTTTTTGTTTATTTTATAATAAATGAAATATTTAAATTTTTTATCAATGCGTTGACTACTGGTTTCGAATATAAATACTTAATCATCATCATCATAATTGTTATTATCTTATAGCAAAGGGAAATGTGGAAAATATTGAAGAAAAATCTGAAAATAAGAGAAGTCCAATTCTTGTGAGAAAAAGGAGTCCAATCCTTGGAAGGAAAAGAAGTTCAATTATTCTAAAAAAGAAACGGTCCATGCAACATGAGTTTTTACCAAAAAAGTAGTATTTCACTACGGGACATACTTTTTCTTTTCGGACGCCGAAAATTTTAGTGGTGTATTATCAAAAATATTTTTTCCATTATATATTATTTTAAATGTTTATTTTAAGTTTATTAATAATAATAATTAATAATAACTGTAAATTTAAATTAAATATTAAAAAAAATTAATTAAAAATTGGATTTTTAGTTTTAAATCTTTTTGTTACTTTTTCCGCTTCAATGTTAGGGTATGTTTAATCTGTCTTAATCTATCTATCATTTATCTATCTACAAAGATTTAAGCAAAAATTCTCATGATAAAATTAAAATTTGGGATTTCTGGCAAAAGTAAGCACTGCTCAGTTTATTTAATTCAACAATAAGATTTAGAAGGTTAATGTCATAACTGTAGATTTATAAAATAAATAAAGTACAAGTACTCGGAGATGAAGTTTCTCTATTACGGATAAACCTTTAAGGGAATATCTATAATGGCGGCGAATATTGAATGAATTGGGAATTTTGAAATGGTCAAAGTTTTGGGAAAGCACGTAAAACAGATATTACCCAGCCGAAGAGTGGAAAATATTTGCTCAGGGGAATCTAGATTTTGTCAAATACACTGCCGCTACTACTGCCATACTCGATTTCTTTGATAAAAGGTTTAAGTAACTCTAGTGCCTGCCTCTGTTGATATCTCACACACAAAGTGAGAGGTAAATTTTTGTAGTTGCGCATACCTTGTATTATTCGTTTAAAAACTTGGTGTTTTGCTTCGAAGCGTAAACACATAAACGTACCTAGAGGACCAAAACGCCGAATCAATCTAGGATAGTGGATCATGAAATGTTGCTTCGGTATCAATGAGTCAGCACCGTAGAGTTCAGTAAAAGTTGTTAAGTAGTCCGCTATTAGATCACCCAAAGCATCGATCATACCGTAACTGATTTCATATCCGAAGACAATAGACGTTATTTCAAGTAAGCTTATATAATTTCTGAAGTAGGGACAATCTTCGTCTACGAGGTCTTGGATAACAAAAGGTAACATGTACGCTAGCATCCACATTTCAGATGCAGACAATTTCATATTAGCTCCAGGAGTGAGATGAGAGGCCTTCAATGTTGGTGGACGATAATCAACTTCGGAGTAGCCAAAATCAAAGCAAGATAATCTTCTGTTCAGTTCATCAATCGAAATTTTTTTTAAAATTACATTCTGACACAAGTGTTGTATAGTTTTGGGTATCACGCCCAAAATTAAATCATGGATGATATCTGAAGGCGCTCCTTCAGTTATGTCATGTTGATAAAGTTCATTTAAAATGCTCCTCCTGTTAATACCGTAATCAGTCATTAATTTCTCCTTTTCCTGTCCATCTGCATTTTCTATCATTCTTACTTGCCTTTCATGATCCTCTTTATTCCGCAACAAACTCTCGTCTTCCTCAACCATCGTATGGACTTGAGACAGGTCTGCAAGGCAATGACGACACATATGCTTTGTCTTTCCAAAGGATTCCTTAACTCCACATATGGCATTTTGCGCAGGATTGTCTCCTGCAGTGGCGATTAATGTACCTCTGATAAGCGTTCCATCTGCACGACTAATTCCACTTTCGATTTTTTTTAAATCTTTGACGACAGGTTTCATTATGTTGTTCAATCCATATTGCTTTACGTATTTCGATCTAACAATTGCAACTAAATGAATGTGTTGTAGAGCAGAACGGTACCTGGGATGTAATTGAAGTGTCGAAGCATAAATCATTAATAACTTTTGATTTCCAGCTGATTTCGAACTTCATCCATGTACAGCAAAATGCTATGGTGAGAATTGTCGTGTCTCCAGATTTGAGTTTTAAATTTTGATCCGTCTCGAAATGAGGATACAACGTCTTCCTTTGGATTATGATTATCTAGAATTTCAGAAAATGTTGGATTTTCAGAAAAGTTTCTTAAAACTTTCGAAAGCGGAACAAAGTACATTGCGTCTACTTTTGTTTTTGTAGGACGTTGTCCTTTTGTTGTCGCACTTCCGTACTTAACAAATCGCCTTCCTAAAATATGCTTTTTTGGCATGGTTACGTTAAATTGTTTTCGGAAATACTTCGTTCGTTTTTGTTTATTGCCAAAGTCATTAATGAAATTTATATTATCAACATGTTCTTGAATATTGAAAAATTCTTCCAGTTGAATATTTCCCCGTTCATCTATATTTCTTCTCACATCTTGTAAAGATGAAGTTACAAATTCTTTTTACAACGTTTTGCATCGATTTGAGAATTACGTTAATTTTTTCTTCGGAAATATTCGTAGTCGATCGTAATTGTAATAGAAATAACCCTAATACACGCTTTCTCATATTGTTTTCTTCAACAGGTTCTTCGTCGTCGTCTTCTTCTTCTTCTTCTTCATCGGTATTATCCTCGTCTGATTGTTCAGCTTCACTATCGCACTTTAAGTACAGATTCTTCAGAATCGTTCTCGTTACTCGAATTTTCTTCCCCACTCACATTTCTTGATTCTAAGTCCACATCATCTCCTTGAAGGTTTTCGATTAATTCATTCCGATCATCCACATCCATAGCATCATTCGGTTCAACTATATTTCTATTGAAATTTAAAATCGGTACTCTATTTCTGTGTCTTCTTGATTTATGCGATCTTAACGAAGACTTATTTGTAAATGATGCATCACAGTTGAAGTAATCACATACAAATCTCTGATTCATATTTATTAATATGTGATTTCTTTGAAGGTGGTCATTTTTCTCTTCCAAAGAATGGAAATAATTTTCGCAGACATCGCACTTCACTGGAAAGGCCTCCATTTCTAAAAAAAAGTAGATAAATGAATACATCTGTGAGTGTAAGAAATACTTATTTAAATTTTTCCTAAAAAAAGTTTTATAGGCAAATAGTTTTTCAGAGGAGTCTTACAATATGACAAAAAATTGAATAAAACAAATATTTTACGCATTTGCTTTGAGTTTGACCCGAAACTGAGTTTCTTCTAATGTTTCTGATACCGAAACAAAAATAAAATTCAATTTTTTTCTCATGACACTAAAAAACCGAAAGTAATTAAATGTAACTTGCGTTTCCTTTACAAATGTAATCAGGTATTACTTTTTTTGTTACAGAATAAGTACAGAATACATCTGTTAGTTTCATTTTGATTCTGAATCAGAAACAAATTACATACATAATTTGATATTGTTTTCAAAGACTGGGAGAAATTTAACGTGAAATGTGACAGAGAAAATGTGAAAAAATTAATTAAAAGCAATCTAAAAATGTAAATTGGTAGTATTTACGGCGTACATAAACTAATTAATTTTTATCAAAAAATAAAAAAAAACATATTTTTACAATTTTGCCTAAAATTTTCATAAAATAAACTCAATCGTGAAGGTTGTAAAATGACAGAAATGCTTCCCTATTTTTTTTAAATGATGTAAAAAATATAAATTAGCCCACACTATTCTGTGCAGGATATCTCAATAATTTTCTTATGGTTTTTTGTTGTAAATAGAAAATATAATCACAAAATCTTGAAGATCAACCTAAAAAACGTAAAAGAAACATAATTGTAAATTTTAGTGAAAATTTTTCTACACAAAGCAAATACACTTCCTGAGTAAGGTTATGAGATTATTATTTTGTTTATTTTTCATATGTCACTTTTCAATTTTTTAAATGGTTTTTTAAATAAGGAGGAAGGGGGCAACCTGGTGTACAAAATTTTGAGCAGTAAATGTTTTAGAACTACCGAAAAATGTCTGTAAAAATTTTATTTTCATAATTAAAAGGAGTTTTTTCTCTAGATTTTTCTGGCTCCTTAAGCCAGCCGTCCTTAAATATATTTGCATTAACGATATCTTAATTTTATACTAATGAGTTATTTAGTTTTTATTTATTTAAATTCAATAAACAAACTGGCGATTTTATGAAATCTATCTCTTCTAATGCACTAGGCTAAAAAGTAAGACTACGATGATGGGAAGTTAAATTAACACTTTCGAAATGTCTTAATTTTTCGAAGTCTATATTTTCAATTTGTATGCCAGTTTTTATTCTTGTTCGGAACCATAAATCTTTTGTAGATTAGAAATTGCACCAAATGTGGCTATCATGTGCCAACTGTGCGATGTCCGCGGTCTTTAAAAGGCAAACTGATGGCCATGTCAGCAGCTTTACTACATTAATGCAATCGCGCTATAAAGGAAGTCCTGCAGCCCCAATGTTGTGGTAAGTCTATAGTCCCGAATACGATACAGTTTTCTTCTCAAGGAAGTTGGAAATGTTTTATTCGTCTTCAGATGTCAGAAGTATTTTTATTCCACTCCAAGCTTAAATGAGTTAGTTTGCCTCAAGAAATACAAGTGAAATAATTATGCAAATAACTTGTTGATTTTTTTTGAGTAAAGTCTGACATTTTGAAACTGGCAAGTTAAAAACTTTGCACTGCGCGTTAGAAAGATTTGCAATTAGCAGAAAACATTTATTTGATTGGAAATTTTGTAACAAATTTTGAAATAATAATTAAATTTTTAAAATAAAGTAAAACAAATTTTTTTTTAATTTAATAGTTTACTAACACAAAAACTTTGTAAAAAATTTATAGAAAAAATACTGTGTAATCTTAAAAAAGAAACATTTTGTAATAAAATTTATGCTTTCTTGATATTGAAAAGAAAAATTTTCAACTTAAAATTGACAAGTCGTTCTCTGTCAAATTTTACTGAAGAAGAGCGCTGTTTAGGCTTCTTATATTGATCGTGAAATAGGGTGTCTAACAATTAAAAAAAATTCCCTGACTTACCCAAACCACGAAAATTAAAAAACGTCCATGTTTTTGATATTTAAAAAACAAATTTATACTTAAAAAATATAAAAACTAAAGGGCCTAGGGGGGTAGGCATTCAAAAGTTGTCCCCACATGTATTGAGCTCATATTAGTGCCATATAGTGCTACCCATATGAGTATAAATATATGGAAGTTTCAACCCAAAATTCGAATTCGTTAAGGAGTACTGAAAAAAATAAAAAAACTCATTTTTCTCGAAAACCACCTGACTGTTTTTAATAAATTTTTAAGAATACAGTTAAATTCTTTTAAAATCGGTTAAGTAGTCTTCGAGAAAAATAAGTTTTTATATTTTTTTTACCCAAAAAATCAGTTTTTTTTAAAAATATATTTTTAAAAAATCTGAAAAAATATATTTTAAAGAGGACAAGCTGAAATATTTTTTGAAAAAAGGATTGGAGAGGTAATTTGAATAAAAATTTTCAAAAAAGTTTTGTAAAAAATTAAAAATTTATTTTCATTAAATATATTTTGAAAAAATTTTGAAACATTTTTTCAATAATCGCCTTATAGTTATTGATACTATAATTAAATTTTATTAAAATCGGTTAAGTAAAAAAAAATGTTTTTTTTTTATTTTTTATCCAAATAAGTCGTTTTTTCAAAAAAATACATTTTTTAAAAATCTGAAAAAAATATGTTAAAGAGAACATACTAAAGCATATTTTGAAAAAAATTTGAGGTCTAAGTTTTAAAAATATTATTAATAAATTTTTGGAAAAATTCCAAATCTATTATATATTTTGTTTTGTTATTTTTTACCTAAGAACGTTATTTTTTTTTAAATATATTTTTTCAAAATCAGAAAGAGATATATGTTAAAGAGGACATTCTAAGGTGTTTTTTAAAATAAAAATTATAGGTTTAATTTTAAAAAATTTCCCCAAAAACATTTTTCCATTTCAAAATTAATTCTGATTTTTTTTGCAAAAAATTTTGAATTTTTTTTTTTAATTGCCATACTCATATTTACAAAATTTTAATTTTTATTACAATTGGTCTAGTAGTTTTCGAGAAAAATGAGTTTTTGGATTGTTACCAAAAATATTCATTTTTTAAAACTCCAGATAAAGTATATGTTAAACAGTACATGCTAAGATATTTTTTAAAAAAAATTTTAGGTTTATGTTTAAAAAAAATAAAAAAATAAATTTTTTTGAGAAATTCAATATTAATTTTTTAGTTTTTTCTTGAAAAAAATTTTGAATAATTTTTTTTAATTATTGTCTTATTGTTTATGATAATATAGGGTCAATTGGGGTAAATGTAAACGGATTTGCTTAGTTTCGACAATAACGTAAGTTTTTTTATTTTAAAAAGCATTACTTCCGGTTTTCTTTTTCATAAACTTATTACTTTAGCTCCATAGAACAATTTTATGGTGTATTAAAAAATACAGGTAACCTTGAATCGCTAACAACTGCTGTTTACATTTAGCCGGAGATTTTGCAAAAAATCCAAAATCTCGGGGTAAATGTAAACACCTTTATTTCTCCGAAATGTTTAAGAAAAAAGTTATCTAAAATAAGTTTCTTGTTTTTTTTACTCAAAAGAGTCGTTTTTTGAAGACTAGATTTTTTAAAAATTTGAAAATAATATGTTTTAGAGGACATACAAAGATATTTTTAAAAAACAATTATTATAAGTGTAATTAAGAAAAAAATCCCCAAAAAATTTTTTTATTTCAAAATTAGTTTTGGTATTTTTTTTCAAAAAATTAAAAAAAATTTTTCCTTAAGTGCCGTACTTATCATTTATAATATATTTAAATTTTATTAAAAAAGGTAAAGTGGTTTTCCAGAAAAATTAGTTTTCTTGATTTTGCTTTCCCACTTCATAACTACCAAAGGAATTCGAATTTCAGGTTAAAACTTGCAATGTTTATACTCATATGGGCACCAATATATGACACCTATATGTACTCAATACGTGCTGGGTCAACTTTTGCATGCGCTTAACCTCCCTAAGCCCTTTTTCTCCTTTTGACAGCCTGAAACCTGATGACATTTTAAAAGAAATGAAATCTTAACGAAGAGAACGATTATTTCTCAATTATATTAACTGAAATTCAACAAAAATATTCCGACTGAACAAATATTTTCCAGAAAATTAAGGAAATTCTCTTATTATTCTCTGACTTCCCTGACCACGAGACACTTCGTGAAACGTAAAATTTACAGATTAGTCGTTGAAATTTCATTTCCGCAGCAATGAATATTAGAATTTAAAACTTTAAATTAACAGAATGTAGTACGTATACTATAAATATATGGCTGCAAATTTAAAAGTAAATTATTTATCATATATTATTTTTCCAGGCTTTTAAAAATGAATTCTTTGCTTTTTATTAAAAGACTATTTAAATCTCCCTATTCCAATGTGTTTCTAAATTTTTGATAATGAAATGATTATAGAATCTTTTCTTATTGAAAAAAAAGACTGATTGAATTATCTTAACGCATTAATGCACAATGTTAACTTTTTCGTAAAACTATATTTAAAATACTTATTTTTTTAAGTTAATAAAAATAAATAAATAATTGATAAAAACTGAAGTATAATTAACTTTGAAAAATAAATTTTAACAAAATATTTTAATACATCGAATGAAGAAATTTATCAATTAAATTTCTAGGAATTAAATATAAAAAAATTTGTTCTTTTATAAAATTAAAAAAATATATAATTATACAAAATTGAAATAAAATCTAGATCTATGATGAGCATCTGAAAGTTATATTAAAAAATTTCCTCGTTAAAAAATTAATAAAATCATATTATCATAACTTTCCGATGAAGAAACAACCTACCTGTATTTTAGGTTATTTATAAATATTAAATAAATATCTTTTTGTAATTATAAAAAAGTCAATGTAAATCACAAAATGAATATCTGTAAATTTCGAAATTTAATTAAAGTTAATAATTCTGATTAGTACAGAAATAATAGTTTCATCTTTACAAAACTAACTATATAAAAAAATTTAATTTTATGAAAAATGTAGATGTAGATAGTGTTTGTTAGAACAGTAACATAAAATTTCCCTAAAAATTATAATGATTCTTTGTCTTTATCACCTTTATATATCGTTTTGGAAATTGAAGCCTAAGAAGTATTCTTATTCCGAGTAATAATTCGACAATTTAATCATCAACAAAACACTTGATAACATTTTCCAATGTCCAGTGTAGTCTGTTTTCAGATTTTCCATAATTAGATTTCTAATAATTTGAAATATACATCGAGTGTCAATTATCGTTACGCAAGGACATTTTCGTATTTTTCGTAAATATATACCCAAACAATATTCATTATTTCTCAGCATCTGCAATCACAATATATATATATATATATAATTGTAAATAAGAAAAATATAACTCAATTATCTCTACATTTTTAATGTAATTATTATATTAGTGCATAATTAAATAGAATAAAAAGCAAGAAACTTATTTGTATTGAAAATAAATGTGATCAGGAACCTAAGTATGAAATCATTTTAAAGTTAATTATGTGTCAGTTTTCCAGTAATTTAATTTATTTTTTAATTGTGTAACAGTTAAAATCACTTTTTATTAAATATTTCGGATATATTGAAGGCTTAAACATAAATAGTTTATATTGATAATTGATTTCTTTTCTAAATTTTCATTTTAAAAAGTTTTAACATAACCTAAAATTTTTTGCTTCTTAGGTTTCTTTATTTTATACGCGTCAGAAAAATAAATTTTAGAAAACGAAGATAAAGAAAAGATATTTGGAAATTTATCAACTTTAAATTTCTTACCTGAATTGAACATCACTGAATCTGATTTTAATACACACTATTATTAAAACACATGTGTTTATGCAACAAGTCAAGGAGATCGAAACCGGCGTGACGTTTGCACACGAGCGAAACGAGTGTGGTAACCACAAGAGTCGGAACTCCCCTAAGATACGATCATAAACAATTTTTATAGCACCTTGAGTCAAAGGCTTAGAAAAAAAAAACATTTGTTTTAATGTTCTCAAAATTAAAATGAGAGGAAATTGTATTTTTAGGGATAAAGAGTTATTTTCATCCTAATTTCTTTTCTCAACCAACCAGTCAGTCCTTAGTGGCTACGGAGAACTAAAATTGGTAACACTGCTGGACGAGGATTCCCGTGTTAGGTTAGTCTGCCGCGCAACACGTGTTGTTTACAAATATAATTCAGTTTCGAATTTAACCAACCAATTGACATTCATTTGTTTATAGTAACATTTTATTAAACAAATGAGCATTAGAGGATTGCTGTGAGTTTCAGTGAGTTTCTTAAGTGATTAAAATTCCGTGCGTCGTTGCAAGATAACTCAGAGGTAAATTCTCCAAGTGTATCTATTTCTCAGAATATACGATAAGTATTATTAAGTTTAACTCTACTTATTATTTAACAATTTTAATTTTTAATTTTTTTAGAATCACAGAAAACAAAAAGGTTAAAAAATTTAATCAGACAATTCTGGAAATATTTTCTTTGGTGTAGAGCAATTGCACCAGCGAGCAAAGAAATTGTTAAATTTCTATGACATTTAATAAATTACTAACTTTCACTATATTTTAAAAAATATGTTGTTAGGTTTCTAACTTTTTTCAAATCTTTTTTGCAACATTTACATCATATTTAAAGTTCAAATTGATTTTAAAAATAATTTTTGAAGATTGTAATAGTAGGTTACGTTCGATAACAAATGTACATGAGATAAACAGAATATAGATTAGAAGCGATTGTACATTTAACAAATATTTTTCGAGGTTCAATTAAAAAAATTTGCACAATAGTAAGTTGTAAAATTGTTTAAAAATATTTGTAATATTTACTTAATTATTTTGACCTGCTTAGAGCATCGTTTTAATGTAAATCTGTTATGTCCTCTTCTGGTGAAAAAAAAAAAATTCATTAAGTGGCTAAATTTTATATTGATTTATTTTAATATACTTGAAAAAAATGCTGAAAATTACTCATTTTTTAAAATTTTTAATGTGCCCCCCCTCCCTTAATATACTGAAAGTATGCGATTTCTCAAATGGTATTTTACTTGTGATAACACTTAAGTTAAACATCCTGTTATTGTACTTGAAAGTATTGAACAATTAATTGAATATATAAAAAAATTTGATTTCAGAAATGGATAACGTAGATAAGTTTGGGGTTAAACGGGGTAGGTGTGAGTGTGGAAATTGCCCATCATACTGTTTCAGCAAAAGCAACTTGTGTTCTTACTGCGAATGTGTTCCTGTGAAACACATAAAATTAGGTAAAATATAAATAAATAAGGCTGTGAAATTAATAAAAATTTGAAAAGCTACTATTTAATTAATTCGTTTAATTTGTATTTTAACTCGTCTATTCCAATTGAATGTTAAATTAAGATATCTGTTAATAATAAACTTTTAATTTTAGTTTATGTTGAATTTATGAAAATTTTCGTATCTTATTAATTAAATAAAACTTAAACCATTTTTTTAGATAATCATTCAAATTCAAATGCTACAATTGAAGTAGAATCATCTAATGACGCATTTCCAACTGAAGCGGAAGTCTTCGAAATTTCTAAAGAAAATGAACATAAAAATGATTTAAATACTGATGGTAAACTCCCAATTCCAACGGTTGATGAGCGAACACCTTACTCGAACTTACCACTTGATATTCAAGAGAAATTGGTAAGAACGACATAATTTTCAATTGATTCTCAAAGCCCCAGGTCCAATATTAACAGTTTTTATATATTAACTATATTTTAGATTTTCGATTCCTAATCTTCTTTTTCCTCAATTCCTTAATTTCCTAATTTTACTTCAATTATCATATAGAATCAATTATCTCGACTGATTCCTGATTCATTTTATGAAAATCGTGAAGCAGATGATAAAGTTGGACTATATTCGAAAATGGATCGAAGTGAATTTAATAAAGTTAAGCGCATTTTGGCCGACAAAATAATAAAAGCAGGTTGTACTTCGCAAGAGGATATCACAAAAATTTCGTCTTTAGCCATAGCCAAGTTTCCGGGATTGAAGGGTGATATTAAAGAGAAGCCTGCTGTAAGTATATTTAGCCCTCTGAGTAGACACTCATTTTATCAATCACGTAGTTCACACATAGGTCAATTTGACCCCACATTAAATTCGAAAATCTGCCGTTTTAAAACTTCTCCGATCAAATTTTAAAAAGTTGAATTTTTATATTTAAAGTCTATATTTAAAAATATTGAAATATAGAAAAAAATGTTGAACAAAATTTTTCTTTAAAAAAGAAAAAACAATGCTTAAAAAACAATATTATTTCTTATAATGTATAATACTTTTGTGTTATATGTAACGTTTAATAAACGTTACATAGAAGAATATAATATATTCTTGAATAGTGGTATAATAATATGAAAATTAATTGCCTATTATAACTTGCAAAATACGATGTTTTTCAAGTTTACCGGGATGATTTTTATTGTAAATGAAATCTTGTCAACAACACACAGGATTATCGTACCCAGGGAGCATTGAAAAGTTTTGGTATAACCTAAAACTATCATTTACCGGTCTTAAAAGAAAAAAATTTTTCCTATTTTTAAAAGATATTCCTGTTTTAATTCTAGATTAAGGTCAAAATGACCCCGAGTGTACTTAAAAGGTTAAAATTATTAAAAATTTCTTATACATGGTAAATAAATAATAAATTTTTATGAAGTTTTTAAAAAATATTTTGTAAAACTTAAAAAAAAACCAAAATAACAAAATTATATTTTTCATTTTAAGAATTACGTAAAATCATTATCTGCTCTATTTAGTTCATAAAAGACTTATTGAATTTTAAATAAAAAACCAAAACTATTTTGAAAAAAATTTTGTAAGATATAAGTTTCCTGGAAAAGTAATTTAATTCAGCGTAATTTACATTTAAAATATTAGAATTTATTTAAGTTTTAATAATGAACAAATTTTCAAATGAAAACTAATTAAACAATTTTATTATAAAATTTTTAAATTTTTGATGCAAGTTTGGTTCTTTTGTAAAAAAAATTAATTGTTCTTTGCATTATAATGGCACACCATAAAAACGAGAAAATATTTTCTAGGTTTCTCAATTTAAAAAAAAAAGAATTATTACACTGTATTAATGTACGATTCCACGTCAGACTTCGATTCACATTTCAAATTCTGGCAACACATTCTTTGTTCTTCCTTAAAAAAAAGGTATACGTATTTTTTTTAGTGGCATAATTTTCAAAAATTTAATTTTTTAAAGTAGTTTTTTTAAATGACCTATAACTCTAAAATTATTGATTTCAAAAAAAATTTGTTCAAAAGAAAAAAAGTTTGATTTTTCTTCAAATTTTTAGTAAAGTAAACGAAACAATAGTTATTTGTGTGACAAGGGCGCAAAAGTAGGGGAATCGAGACATGCGTGAGTTTGAAGCACGAGCGAAGCGAGTGCGGCAATCACACGAGTCGAGATTTCCCAATTTGCGCCCATGCCCCACACATAATTTTTTATAACAATTTGCGTCAAAAACTCGACTAAAGTGCTGTTGGAGTGGGAGCAACTGTGCGTAAAAGTACGATTTCCCCTCTTTTTAAGCTCTAGAGCAAAAAATGCGCTTTAGTCGAGTTATTAACGCAAGGTGTTATAAAAAAAAAATTTTTTTCGTTTTTATTTAGGTTTTTTATCAACGAATTTATGAGTTCTAAAGATAAAAAAATTTAATGTTTCAAAAATCAAAAATAAATAAAAATAAAAAAAATTTCTTTTAAGAATTTATAAAACAAAAATAATAATTTTGAAAATTCATAATTCAAAAATGTGGCTACCAGAAAAAATATGAAAATAAGTGTACCTTTTATTCCCTAAGGAACGAAAAAAAATGTCTGGCCATCTTCAAAAGGTCGATTGAAATCTGACGTGAAATCGTCCATTTACATATTACAATTTTGTGAGTATTTAAGTAGCTAATTTTGCTTCTTTTATATAATTTATTTTTCCTACTGTGTAATTGGATTTAAGGAGAGAATGAGAATTGCATTATCTTTTTGCCTTAAAAATATAAAAAATCGTGATCCGAAGTCCCAAGTGAAGTATCCTAATTCATTTAAAAATAAAAAGTCTGCGAAGAATAATGATAATGATGACGATGAAAATGTTGCCAGTCTTGATGATGCGTGTATAGAAATGAGAGAAGAATATTACAATATGGAAATGGATATAGGAAAACTGAAAGATTTATTAGTGAAAACACGTGAACAAAGGCAAAGAGATGTGAAAACTTTATCTGCTCAAGAATTATTAATAAAATATACACCCTTGAACGATAAGGAATTGGTATGATTCATATATTTTAAAGGATGTATTAAATTTCAAACAAATCGATTGTGAAATATTTTTAAACATTTAAATACTGATACAAAAAAAATAAGTTTAATTGCAATTTATTTTTTACCACACTGAAAGAAATTATATATTAATATTTAGTAAATATTTTTCAATTTAGGGAAAACGTGTTTAAATGTGAAATATTGATATAAGAATACTAATTCTCAGAAAAAAGTTTGTAGAATTTTTAAAAATTTTATTAAGGTCCGTTAATACATTTACGAAGTTTAATAAAATTTGTCATTATTTAATAAAATCTTTTATAAGATTTAGTATTTTTATATCAATATTTCACAATTTGACACGTCTTCCCTAAATTAAAAAATATTTACTAAAATTTCTACTGTACTTATTGAACTTTAGTATATAATTTCCTTCAGTGCATTTAAAAGTACATAAAAATGACATAAGCATCTTTACATCTTAAATTTAGGTAATGTCCGTCAAAATTTTTCTGTTTGTATTTTTCTTTTGGATCGCGTTCCTATCAGCAATGGATATTGCAGGATATAGGACGGACGTCCCAGTTGTTTCCAGAAATTAGGATACCTCTAGGATGTCCATACAATATCAACAAATATCCCTAGGAGATCCTATGGATATCCTAATTCCTAAATATTCATAGGATGTTTGTAGGATATCTAAAATATCCGGATGTTCATAGGATTTCGCAGTTTAGTTTCAATTACAAATGTGAATAATATTACAATTTTTAACGTTTTCTAAAATTTGGTTTCACTTTTAATTATTATGTTACTTTTTAATTTTTGTTCTATTTTATCAAATTCTAAAGTATTTAAAAATTTGATTTCTTTTTAAAATTTCTTCAATTAATAAATTTTCTTTTAGTTTTAATTTCGAAATATAAAATTCTGTTAATTTTCTTATTCTTGATTCTTTATTCAGAAATGCTTTGGGTTGTCTGATAAAGTTGACTGAATGTCATTCTATAATAATTGACCACAATTTTGTCACTAGATTTGAAACTTCTTCCACAAATTTAATATACTTTTTTTCATATTTTAATTGATTAATTTTAAAAAATATTGATTTTCAAACAATCCAATAGAAATTTTAAACAACAATCCACAACTGTTTGGTTACAAATTAAATAATGTTCAATGAATTAAATAACAAATCATTGAAAGATATTTTTAGAATCAAATTAGTTGTGGCCTGTTTATGAAAATATGTTGTTTTGATATTATATTAATTAAAATTTAACAGTTTATTTGGGAGTTCGAGCAATTAGTCCAGATGCGCCTAAAAGACATGCGACAAAATTTGATTGATTCAACGGGAAAAATAAACGCAATTCTTAAAGAAAAAATAGAAGAAACTGCAGACATTAATAAAAAGGTTATTCATGTTCTGAAACAACTACCGAATTTGATCAACTCAAATACTAAAAAAGGGCAAAAACGTGAATCTATTTTGGAAATGGAATTACAGGTAATTATAATTTAAAAACTAAAGCTGATACTTTTGTCTTTTTATATATTGATGAAACATTTTTTTTATGTTTCTTTGTAAATTGTGATTTTTCATTTTTATTCATATACAAATTATTTTTTTATTTGCAAAGTATAATTTGCATTTAAAAACTTGTATCTACGAAATAAATAATTTTTTTTTAATTTTTACGTAAATATAATTTCTAGTTTCATCACAAAAAATTAAAATCATAAATTAACTAAATAAATGCTACGTGTAAATTATACAATTTATTTTTATTAAATAAGATTTTTTAATATTGATTCATTGTTTGTTTTTTATTTGGCTTAACTCATGAAGATATTCAGTTTTTTCGAATAAATATTGTTAAGCTTGTCAACAGCTTGGGGAAAAGTTTCAATTAGTTATTAAAAACTGTGTCAAAATCCAAGATAAAAAAAATATTTTTCCCGTTTTAAAGGTCGCTAAAAATTTTTCAAGGCCGTGTAAAAAGTCTAGCTTCACTTTTCCTTATCTTGAGACTGTTAATAGCATGACTTTTAAATATTTTAAATATTTTTTTTTAATTCAGACTACATGAATCCAGAAAAAAAGCCTGGCTTTACTGTTTCTCGCTTTAAGATTGTAAAACTTCTGGCTTTAGAAATTACTTTTTTTTAATTTGGATCCTACAAACCCTTGCTAGACTTTTTTATTCCCGTAGATGATCAAACACTTGCTTTTAGAAATTCATGGGTAATTTTTTTTAAATGCAGATTTTACAATAACTGAAAAAAACTTAGCTTTACTTTCCATCGTCTCTACATTGCAACTTACCCTTGAAAAGTTAGAATTTTTCAACTAAAAATTACCAAGTTTGAAACACACGTTTTTGATGGTCTAATTACAGTGAAGCTAGATATTTCCCATTCCCTGGAAAATGTTCATAATACAGAATAAGACCGGGCCATGTATTTTGTTTGTTCTTGTTTTTTGTCACGGTTTTTTAATGATTCTTAAAATTTTTACCCCAGACTATTCCTGGGATTGAATTGTTTTAAATATTCTTTAAATTTTGTAATGATTTTAAAAATCATTTTCAATGAAGGTTCTATAATATTATATCATTGTTACTTACTAAAGACCATTATTGAATTTTAATATACTAGTTTTATTCTTCTTTCCTTTATTATTTTATTTTGAATTTTTTTTTATTTTTTTACTATTTTTATCAATTGAAACTAATAATTATTTACTTTATTTGAAAGACTTTGTCATATTTTATTATATTATTGTTAACTTTTATAGGATAACGCACCTCCGATGAATAGAGCCCCGATGCTAATCGCAGCTGATGTTGACGGCAACCAACTAAAGTGTTACGTAGATTCAGAACCCTTACACTGCTCAGACCCGTTAGAAGCTGTATTGCTATTAATCGGATCCTACTATGTCTTTAATATCAGCTATGAAAAACAATTCCATTTGCAATATATACTTTTAGAATATATGATTTTTGGAAGTAATGCCACGCGTATAGCTCCAGGAAATTCTAAATATTTATCCATTTTAAACATTATGGATAGAGCCAAAATATGTCTAGGATATTATCAGATGCCTTCAATCTAAAAAAAGAAACAATAATTTTGAGGCATGACGTTTGGCCACATAAATGATCATCAAGATAAAATGTTAATATATTCTTAAGTAATTTAAATGAATTTAAAACATTAATTAAGTACGTTAAATTGAAGTTTATACCGAGTATTTATTATAATCAAATGGAGCATTCTTAAAGTATGTTTAGCGTATATTTATCACAATCATCTATAACATAAGTAATTTAATTTAATGTAATTTAATTGGGTTTCGAAACATTGTATTTCCATTCAACAGTTATAAGTTATTTTATTAAACACGTTCTTATAATTTTTATAGTGTTTTATTAAATTAATAGTTTTTTAACAACATTTTACAAAATTTTTTCTTTGCTCTGTTTTTGTATCATCCTTTTTTATTTACTAAAAATTGTTTTGGAAGTTTTACTTTCAAAAATAAGTTAATTTATTTTGGAGTAAAAATTACCTAAAATTTTTCAACAGTTAAATAAAGTAAATTTTCTTTTGTTATCCCTTTTTCTCTTTAGGGGTAAGGTTCTTTAAAACTTCATAAATAAGTTGAAATTCTAATAACTTGAGACGTTAAAAACAATTTTTCCTTCACATTCAGTCTCAAATTAAATTAATCTTAAATATAATAGTAGTCTTAAACTGATACTTTTTCGAATGTAAGACGTTGGTAAATCGGAATTTTTTGAATACATAAAATTTAAACTATCTTGTGCGGTAATTCAGAAAACTTTGTTTCGATCGACTACAATTTGGTTAGGCCAAAACGGATCAATAAAATGGTTTTAATGATTTCAGTGATGAAAACAGTAAATTAAATTAAATATTTATTTAAAAAATGTTGGACAAAACCTAAAAATTTATTGACAGATTTTTTGACATTTTAAAATAAACAATTGACATACATTTTTTCACTAAAATGAGACAAAATTTGGATCATTTTGATCTCTTTTTGGAATCAAAATGATCTGCAACGTTTTTTGATACCCCAAAAATAACTTTTCCAAAAAAAATTTTTCTTAAGAAAAATTTTTAAAAAGTAAACATGTTCAATATTAGGTTATACCTATGAAGTAGTCAAAAAGTTTAAAAATGACAAAATGGCGGATACTGTTTTAAAAAAGTTTGATTTTTGCACCATTTTTTTAATGTTTAACACCTTACAAAACATCTTCATTGTTAACAAATTTACCATATTAGACCATATTATACATATATTTTGTTCTCTAAAAAGTAATTTTAAAACAACTTGAATTGCTCTATCCTTGAAATGATAGATGTACTAAATGGAGTTGGTTACTAATATTTTAAACAATTGTTCAATTTATCTAAATAAGCGGATAACTAAATTTTGTCATAAAAAGTGTTTCCAATGTCAAATTATAGATAAATGTAACCTAAAAAAATTGGAAGATTTAAAGGTTAAAGGCCTAAGCAGAATAGATTCTTGAACGGGAACGCAATCGTGAACGGAAACGTAAGAATGGGTGAGAGAAGAATAAAGATATTTGCTATCCTTCTCTTACACATTCTTACGTTTCCGTTTACGATTGCGTTCCCGTTCAAGAATCTATTCTGCTTAGGCCTTAAAGCAGAATAGACTCAACAGTAATCGCAAACATATGGGCTAACGCATAAAGGTCTAAGCAGAATAAAAAACGTAACCGTAATCACAATTGTAAACGGAAGAATGAGTTAGAGAAGGATAGTCATATATTGTTGTTTTTTTCTTACTAATTCTTCCGTTTGCGATTGCGATTCTGTTTACATTTCTATTGTGCTTAGGCCTTAATACATTCATGAAAGTCATTCGGGAATGAGATGTATGCAGAGATGGGTAAAAGTGCTTTTCTGGAGGTTTTCTACGTATAATACTGTAGAAAACCAGGTTTTCGACCTAGTAGCCGCATCAATGGCAACATAACCTTTTTTTGTTATTTACTTACTGGTTTATTGTTGATAAATAAGTATTAATTAATAAATAAAATATTTAAATTTTGATCAATTGAGAACTTTCAGTTGAGTTAAATAATATCATCTTATTTGCAATAATTTCGTAAAAAAATTTAACATTTTAAATGTGCTTCAGTTCTCAATTTAGAAGAGAAATACTAATATAATTTAAATTTTATCAAAGCATCGATAATTAATTTTTGCTAATATCAGAACTATTGAAAATTCGAAACTAGCAGATTTAGGGTTATGTTTCTCAAAATTAGGTTTATATATATTACACGTGTAGAAAACTCATATATAATACGTGTAAATTACACGTAAAATACCTTGTATAAAGGCGCTTGTATACCCACCAATACCGAGTATACTTCTGTCGTGTACGATTGGAGTAAAAGAGACAAAAGATTTTTCCGTCTCTTTTATTCCAATGGTACACGACGCAAGTATACTCGGCATCGGTGAGGTATACAAGCGCCTTAAGGTTGGATTACGTTATAATCTCAAATAATATTAATATTTTCCTTCTATAGAGGGCAACAATTTTAGATTCCAAATAAGGCCAGAAAAAAGTTAACAACCGTTAACAACATTAATTTCGATAAGTTGAAATTTGACCAGTCCCTCCTCTTAAATTACATTTAAATTTGTCTGCCATCATAACTCGAAAACTGATTGATTTATTTTAAAAGATCTTATTGCATTCTATTCTGGGGAAGTTTTTTAGCTCTAATATACCAATAAGTTTTTTTTTTATGTTTACTGTGATTAATTTAATGTTAAAATAATAACGTTTTTTCAATGTTTTATTTTCAAAAGCTTGTCATTTTTTTAAATTTTGATAGTTTTGAGTTATTCGAAGTTTGTCCGCTAAATAAAATTCGACTGAAGAGAATGCATCAAAAAATTTTGTAATCGGACCATCAGTTTCGATTTATAATGGCAGCCAAATGTCAATACAATTTTAAAGTTTGGATAAAGCACCCTCTATAGAAGGAAAATATTAATATTTTTTGAGCTCATAACTTAAATTTTTTATTGTCCTAAATATTCATAAAAACTTATGAAATTAATTAATTATTTAAACTTATTATATTTTGAAACTTTTAAGAAAGAAATGTTTAAAAAAAACCTTCAATTTAAGATTTGAAAACTTAGAAGACGCCTTAAAGTGCTCAACAACTGCAGTTTTTATATTTCAATATTATTGTTAACTCAATTTTTTAAAGAAATAATTAAATAATGTATCCTAGTTAATTTTAAAAAATTATAATATCAATAACATTAAAACATAAGAACTACATGTATGAATCTGCCGAAATTCACTACAAAAATTAAAACTTTTGTAGAAAATCAGAACAATTTTGCTATAACAGTGAAATGTTTGGTACAACAACAAAATGTTTCCTATTCTTCTATTATCGAACATATATCTTGCTCAACAGCAAATTCCCTTTATACGTATAGTTCTACTTTCCAATTAATTATTTTTGACAGTAGGGGAAAGTCGGTAAATGGAACCGCCTAAAAAACATATTTTAAAAAAATTAATTGCTGGAATAAAATCTTAATTCTAACTTTTTTCGCTGTTTTTAATATCTATCTTTAATATCGGATAATATGGAAAAAACATTATTTTATATTTAGATTAAATGTTTTTAAATGGTTCAATTATTATTAATAGTTGCTTTTGCGTGAAACAATAGAAACTTTTGTTTAAAACTTCAAAAATTTAATAAAATTAATCTTTTTTTCCAATGACATATTATCTTATCAAGTGTTCATTAAGAAAGAATTTTATAAAATAATAAAGATTTTAAAAATACAGTTATTTCATATTAAAACATTTAAATTTTCAAAACGTACACATTGTACAATTATAGTGTTAAAATATTGTAAAAGTTAAAAGTCAACAAATACCATAGGTGGATTATGAAAACTTCCGTAGTTAAAACAGAGGCTTTAATTGCAACAAAACAATGTTGTTAAATAAAATAAGAAAAATAAATTATATTATTGTTACCTTTATCAGTATCAAAAACTCAAAAACTAAATATAATTATGCTTAAGATAAGCAGGAAAGAAAAATAAATATTATATTTTTTCTTTTATCTGGAATTTGGAAAGTTTTCCAAATGAACATTTTTCTTGAAATTGATAATTTAGCTGTTAAAAAGCTGTGGGTAAAAGAAGGATTTTCCAAACTTTCAATTATTATTAACATTGAAATTTTCTTGATTTATAAATAAACTCTTACAACATAACATTGAGGATATAATATGTTATAATTTTGCTACATATGTGTAAAGAAAATTGCAGAGATCGACTATCCCTTCCATAGGAAACGCCCCATAAAAATATTTTTATAATAAAATATTCCACTCACTCGAATCTCCGCAACACTTCATTTTTGAACTCCAAAAAATCGTTTTTAAACTTCAAATAATCGTTTTTGAACTCCAAAAATTCGTTTTCACCGCCATCTTGATTATTATTATCAAACATATTAGACGTTGAATCAGACAAAAATACTCTGAAAAATATTTTTAATTATGTGGAAAATATTTCTGTAAAATATTATATCTATTTTTTAATAAATTTTAATAAAAAATTGAAAATATTAAATAAGTCTTGAATGTTGAGTAGAAAAAAAAGTGAAATAAATATCCATACTTTTTGTCACTCTGTAACTTATTTTGTAATAATTAAGATTTTTAACTTTGATGACCACCTATTAAAATTGGAAATTTATTGAGTGAGTGAACTCACTTCTGTAATTTAGTTTTACTTTCCTGTTTAAAAATTTGTGTATACTCTAATTTTGATTTATGTTGGAATTATCTATTTCTTAAACGATATACACATTTTAAAAAATTAATACTTACAATTCTGTAAGACCACCACTGTCATTAACTATTTGCATGGAATTTGGAGGCATGGGCAGTGCGTTCTGTCTTAATGAGGTCACACTTCTGTTGGAAAATAATAAGTATGGTAATATATTTCACGTGAAAATCAAAAACAAACTGAAATGTGCTAGATATTCCACAAAGTTTTGACTTACAAATTTGAAAGAGGGATTTTCTGCTTTGGTTGGTATAAGCTCTGATATGCACCTAGCTGTATGCTTCCAGAATTTGATGTTCCTGCATTCTGATTTCCTGAATGCTGTACTTTGTCCGTCCTAGAATATAATTTATTACTGTTATTATTAAAATTATTTTTCGAAACAAATTAAAAAGTTTTATTGTAGATATTTCACAAAATTTTTACTCACTTTGAAAGATCAATTTTCTGGATTTGCTGAGTTGTGGTCTGATGTGCACCAACTTGCAAGCTTCCAGAATTTAATACTCCTGAATTCTGAACTTCTGAATGCTGCTGTTGGTCTCTTCTAAAAATAGTTAAAATGAAATTGTTTCTTAATTTATTATTATATTTATTATATTATATTTATTCATTATTAAAAAAAGTTATTATCAACATTATTTATTAAGAAACACTACAGAATTTTCCTTACTGCTTATCAGTTTCTAGGTTTAAACTTATCGCCAGTTTTTTCAAGTTTTTTAAGCTTCCGGTGACAGTTTTTGCTTTTTTGGATATTTTCGGGATAGTCTCTTCGTCAGAAGTGCTTAAAATGTTCTTAGGTGTTGTAATTTTTCTCCCTGTACTGGATACTCTTAGGGTATTTTTAATAAACATTTTGTTTACTGTTTTTGATGCAACTTTTGCTCCTTTGGCTTTCTCGATTGCCTACAAAAAAATTTAATAACTTGTTAATCCTGTATCAAAAATTTTAATCTTGTTTTAATGCACACTGTATCATTTTGTCATGATTTAAATGACACACAATTTCATGAAAGTGGTAGTTTTGTTTTTAATTGTGAATACAGGGTTGCTATGTTTTGCCTCGAACAAAATTCCCTGACTTTTCAACGAAGCTAAACTACGCAACGTTTGCAAAGAAATTTTTTATTTTAAAGATAAACATTTGGTTAACGTTTAAAATTACAAATACGTAATCTCGGCGAAATATTTAACTTATGAGGAACATTTTTCAGTTAAATATTGAGCCTATATTACGTATACGTGTAATCTAAGCGTAATATTTAACTTAAAAAAAATTTTTTCGTTGATAAACGTTGCGTACTTCAGCTTCGTACTTTTTCCTCGATTTCCAGGGCTCAAGTAATATTTTTCTATAATCTGTTGAATTAATTAATTTAACATTCCTTCGTTGACAATAAAGTTAGTTTAATTGAAATTTAAACTCTTTTGGCAACATATATTTATATTAATAATTATTTTTTGCGTCAAAGTTGATAAAAAAAGTCTCCAGGTGTTTTAAAACTGAGAAATAAGACTTATTTTTTAAAAAAAGTTGCTAAAGTTTATTATTTCTTGAAATACCCTTAAAAAGATAAAAAAAAGAACGTGTCCAATTAGGTCAAAAATGAAAAATAAGACTTAAGAGGAAGGACCAACCATTCAAAATTTACATTGTTTTACATGCGTAAATTTTTTTCTTGCATTGTTTAGGATCTGAAATTATGGAATTCAAAAAGCGTAGCAACCCTGGAATATTAATACAAAATTTAATTAAGTTAGCAGTTTCATATTACTTTTTTCAACTTAAAATGTAAAAAAAGTTTCACTATTCAACTTTTCTTATTCCGATAATATATAGATAAATTAAATTGTATAGTTTTAAAAGTTTTGCGAAGAAACAGTGTGTTTTCAAAGACTTGACCATATTGGTATAAAAGCATTGCGTTTCTGCATCGTGTGTCTTGTAATTGCTCAAAATTTTAAGAATAAATTCTTACAGTATTTTTAAGGGACATCTTTTTGACCGCATTAGGAGGTGCGTCTTTCTCTCTCATATTTTCCATGGCCTGTAAAGTAATTATAAAATTTTTAAAACCATAGTTTTTTATACTTTACTATATGTAAAAGTGTAATAATTAATAATATAAGTAAAATAAGTAATAACAAAAGCATAGAAAATGATTGAGTTTTTTATACACGGAAGTTGGTGATACATTAGTTACAAAAATTTTGTTTAACTTAACTTAATTTGAAATTTAACATTTTATAACTCATGAAATGTATTATTTTGTAATATTTTTGTTGCAATAATAGATACTTCTGCTTATTGAATTATTGCGTAACAAAAATTTACTTTTAGTATTAATTAAAAATTATGGCAAAATTTTTTTACTCACATGATATTATGTAGCATACAAGCTTTTCAAATGCTTCTACATAAGATATTAAATTTGAGGAATTTCTTGTTGACTGGATAGTACTGAACATACCCAGTCATTTTCTATTACATTTTCTTCTTGTCCTAGTGCAGTACTCCAACAAGGCATTCTGTAACATTTGTCTTTCACTTGATTGAGTGAAACTACTTCCATTGAATTCGACAAGTTTGTACACTTAAATACCCCAGCAACTTCAGATGATATTCCAATGTCGTATACACCATTCTTTGTTCGATAGGCTTGAAAAATGAGAGAGAATTCGTCTTCTACCTGCACAATGTTCTTTATTAATCCAATTCTTACATCTTGGAGTTGGATACAGCAGTCACGTAAATTTTTAGCAAGTGTAATCTTTCCAATTATCAATTTCTGAAACTGTTGGCATGAATTATCCAGAATTTCTTGAGGAAGAGGACCTTCGGCATGAGGCAATGAAGGTTGTATGCGAATGGCATTATCAACCGGCACTGAATTCAAATGATTTAATTCCTTAATTCTTTTATAATACTGTTGAAGAAGATGATTAGGCTTGCGTATTAACTTGTGAAATTCTGGCATGTTATTTTCGTATCCGAAAGAACTGTGAGAATCCAAATCACCAAGCTCTCGAACATCAGAGACTATGTGACACGCCGCATGAACATTATAAGACATGAATTGCAGTCCATAAAGTTCTTTGCAAAGATTTACGTAAGTTTTCATAGCTTCCTGACAAAATGTCAAGAGTTCTTGAGATATATTTTTGCGTACCAGAAGACGCAAAACACCGTTCAATATTAAAAAATGATTATAACATTCCTCTTCAAAAATACCTTTTAATAGAGATGGCATTGTGTATAATGCAATTTGCCTGAATTCTGTCGCTTTAAAACAATGAAAAGCAGACAATTTGTTTGGCCTTCGATTAAATTCTGTAGGACAATACTCTCGTAGCTGCATCATTCTACTATTAGCGATGTCTATTTTCCTGCCGGATAACCTTTGAATATTAAATTTTCCTTCTACGTTCGCTACTATTATTTTTTTGACATTTCCTATCCACATACTGTGCAGTGATTCAAAGGGTACTTGTTTTACTAAATTTATTAATCCTGATAATGGACTTCTTCCTTCATGATGATTCTCATCAGTCATATTTCTATATTCTTCACCAGTGCGCAGTGTGTGATTGACTCCCTCGTAAGTCATTCTATTCATAAAATGGACACCTTCTATTTTACATTTCGAGCAAGGTTTAGCCGAGTTGTGAGAGGAATGAGCTAAAATCATGGCCCGTGCAGGAGCGTCTGCAATGAAGCAATGAATTCTTAGAAAAGTTAGTTTATTGTTGATGATAATTCCATCTCTGCAAATTTGAGTGACTTCGTGAACAAATTCCTCAAAAAAGTCAAATGCATTTCCTGGCTTTCCATCACCTACAAAAACACCTGCAATTAGTGGTTTTCTATCTCCTATATTAAGAATTCGATACTGAATGGGCCAAAACTGCTTCGTACTCTTATTAACTTTGGCACCATCAGTGCTAAAGTCTATTAAAATTATTTCAGGCAACATATTTGCTGGGATATTTTTTAGCTTCTTCTCAAGAGTCGATCGGAAACCAATATGTAGGTATTCACCACCAGCCATGAGTCGAAGCAAACCAGTTACAATAACAGTAGGAGTCTGGAGAATTGTTCTACTATCTTTTGGAAGAAAATTTAAATTCAAAGGAAATTCTCGGAAACATTTTAGAAGGATGTTACACTGACTATGCTTTAAGTTGGCAGACAAAAATGCGTTTCTTATTGATCTTTTCTTTAATTCAGCTAAATTAATGAGAGGAACATCTTCATCTTCTGAAATAACTTCTCTAGCATTATCATCATGTTCTGAAAGCTCCTCAGATCTATCAGTAAATGTTTCGCTATCACTGTCGTTTTGACCTGAACTTTGACTTTCTTGATCATCATCACCCTGATCGTAATCTCCATTGCCATCTCTATCATTTTCCCCATTGCCATCATCGTTAACGTCATGTAAATAGTTCACTAGATGCAAGTCGTTATTTTCAGCTTCATTATTGTCATCTGAATAATTTTCGCTTTCTGTTGTGGAACCAGAATCGTCAATATTTTGTATGGAATCAGAAGCATCATTATTTCGACAACGCATAATACGTAATCGCTTTCTTTTTTGATTTGTACTAAGGTCAAGAAATCTCTTATTTTTATCTTTTTCCATAATTTTTCCCTCTCGTTTTTACGAAATCTATGTGGTAGAAAAAATTGTTGTGTTAATCTCGTAGTACTTAGAAAAATTTTAAGTAAAGCAACTTAAACAAAATAATTTCATGCCTTGTGCCACTTATTTAATGGATAATTTCAAGATACTTGTGAAATTTTCGAAATTTAATTGAGATAAAATTACTTAATATTTTATAAGACTTGAAGTGCAATTCAAAATTTTCGAAAAACATAATCAAAAGTTTTACAAGAATTCATTCCACATCATGGCTGATAAAAATCATAATTTTTTAAAAAGAAATAATAACATTGATAAAATAATCTCAATACATAAACAAAATAAACTATTTCGAGAAACTGAAATGAGATAAATATATTTTAAAATCAAATTACTTTCATGCAAATTTAAAAAAAGTAACACTTAAAGAATCAAAGATATTATACAAAATACCACAATACCAAAATTAATTGAACCAATACATCACCAAATTCCTAAAGACTATACGGATACTAAAGTAATATATGCATTTCCAACTCATACTACATTATACAGCAGTTTATTTTAGACTATCAATAAATTGTAGCCAAAATTTCATTAACAAAAATTGTCCTTCTAGTTCTGAAAATTAATTAATTCAGAAAGTACAGAATAATTTTAAATCGATTTTCACAGAAGTACATCAAATAATAAGAGATGATTTTTTTATTATCTATTTCACAAAAAAGTTAATAAGTTTTATACCTACTTAAATAGGAAAGAGGCGTTTCACATAAAAAAGATTTATATGAATTATAAGCATGCGTTCCAAATTACTCTAAAATAATTAATTACTTAAAAATAAAATATTTTACGCTAATAAAAATATCCCAAAAGATACATGAAAATCACACTAAGTATTAGTTTTATATGTGCAAACAGAAGAGTTACCACTATTTCAGATCTATATTATTTCAATAATTTTATCAAAGTTCCAAGTCATAGAAATGAAAATAACATTTTTATTTAGAATAATTTTTCGTCCACCACGAAACATTCTTTTATTCCCCTTTCCACGAAAAATACAAAAATAATACGTTATTTTATGTCATGATGTATTATAGAAAGAAAGATTTCAAAAAAATGAAATAAACAGAAATAAACACAAATTATGTTTAAAAAATATAAAATTACATCAAAAAATAAAAAAACGTTACTAATTATTATTACATTTTACATTATACTGTTACATCCCAGTAACAAATTTTAAACTTCGTTCAATACATATATATATATAAATAATAATCCATAAAATTTATTTTGTATTTAAAACAGTTAAAAATAATATCTTAAAACTATAATTATTTCAAAAATTATATAAAAGCATTGATTCATATTCATATACGCGCGACTATATCTATATATATGCAATTGCATGCATGTTATGACTCGTCGCGAGCGAGCGATATATATAGATATAGTGCGTACAGGCATGGATATGTGAATATAGATATAGCGAGTAGATGCATCACCGAAGGTGACCTCCCGCTACAGAAGGGCTATGCTGAGGAATCGCGTGTGGTTGTTGAACAAGAGCGAAAACTATCTACACTAGTTTTCGCCCTAATTCTTCAAAATTAATTAATTCTTTTTGCTATTATATTTAAAATACAGTTATCTATTACTTTAAAATAATAAATCTTATACATTTTAAAAGCATTTAAAATGCCATTATTCAAAAATATAAATAATGTTCAGTATATAAAATTTTTCTAATTTGAATCCCACGCAATGCTTCAGCTAATTCTTAGGAATTGTTTTTGCAGCTGCATAAAGTATAAAGTCTTATGCGATGATCTACTTCTCACTTGTATCAAATCGCATAGGCTAACCTTTGACTTGAATATCGAAAGCCTGGTAGGCTATTCCTAGAAATTAAACCTATGCCATTTGACACTACTACGCATATTACTCAGTAGCAGCGAGTGGACTTATGACTCATGTAAGCGTTAGCGAGGCGCAAGCACAGTATTCTAGCGTCGCAATATTGTGAGATGCTTGTAGACAATGTAATAGCGATACTTGTGCTATGCGATACAGGATGCAGGTGTTCATCTAAGCTCTGAGAATTGTTACAGTTCTATGAAAATCTAAGAGTCAAGCTTAGAGATGGGGTGATCTTTGAACTTATTTACTCCCACTGAGGGTAATTTTCTAGTATAAAAACCCATGCAAATCCATTGTCAATCGTCAGTTGCTCCGGAATCATTCTATAATTCATTTTCTTAAAGTAAATTCACCATCGTGAAGCTTGACCCTTCGGTTATTTTGAAAGTTCTACGACTGTAACTCTTGCATCTCAAACAGTATATGTTTACTCGTTGTTCGGTTTTTGAGCAAGTAATCATCATCGCCAGATTTGTGAGCTTGTCAATTATTGAAATTTAAAATAAATCGTCGTATTAGTGTATTCTCATTTATCGATTTTGCAAACGTGACGTGTGTGCATTTCGGAGTTTACGAACTAAAAAAAAACTGTGAAGAAGTCCCAACTGTTCCTTTTAAGGAGTTGTAAAAACTCACAGCGTCGCTGACAAGTGCCAACTTGTTTTATATTCATTTCTGCCCTCTGAACAGAGGTAATTGTAAGTAATATATTTTATAAACACAATTTTCTTTGTAACAACATTTTTACACTAAAACACCTTTGTAATATTTTGAGTTCAATTCATTTATATTAATAAATTATACAAAGTTTAAATTAATAAAATTCTTTATTAATTTCTCATTTACCTAAATTTATCATAACTATTCATATTTAACTTAACAATTATAAGTGGAAAGGCAATTATTTAATAGTAAATTACTTAAAGACGACCCCCATAGGATCGATAGGAACAAACGTTCTCACATAAAAATAAATGGTCAAGCCTTACCAACTTGACTTAATCAGCCTACCATTCCTCCAAAATTTAAAAATTGATTTTATTAATTAAAATTAAATTCAACCTCGCCTTTCGCTCGGGATGTAACAGCTGATTTGGTGGCAGCGGTGGGATTTGTTACCTTTCTTTTTCAAAAAAAAAAAAAAAC